CACTTCTGCCACTTCCGCCACTTCCGCCACTTCCGCCACTTCCGCCACTTCTTTCCTTCCTTCCTTCCGCCACTTCCTTCCTTCCGCCACTTCCTACCTTCCTACCTTCCTACCTTCCTCCCTCCCTCCCTCCCTTCGTCCCTCCCTCCTTCCCATCCATCCATCCATCCATCTATCCATCCATCCATCCATCCATCCATCTCACACACCATCACACTGAATAATTTCACTGTTGATTTCTTTTTGCTTTGTTCATTTACCTATGCAAATAAGTATGATATGGTGTATTTTGCAGGTTCATAATTCCATTGAACAGTATTCAAGGTTGCTGAGCAAAGCACTGTGGTATCTTAACTCATTGTAACCAGTAGTCTCCACTTTTTCCCAAATATGGCTTGATTTCTAGTTTAGAATTGACATGTAAATTATTACTCTGCCTTTGAGAGTTGGTTTTTCCTGAGAAACTTCTAATTAAAAAAAGGAAAAAGAAAGAATTATGTGATTTTCTGTCTACTAAAAAACACTTTGCAACAATGAGTCCTGCAACCATTACCAGCACATGGCTTTTACACTGGCGTTTGTCACCCATGCTGGCAGCTGTGGAACAAGGCAAATGGGCCATCCATGCTGCTCTTGGGCCAAGCAGCAGAAAACCATCAGAGATGATGAGGAGGCAGAGGAATCCAGCAAGACTCTCATACTGCCCACCACGATCTGTGCTGCCCTCCCCAGCCAGCAGCTGGTGCCAGACCACGATGAGGTGAGGCTAACAGTATTTACACATCTCTGGGGCCCAGCTCCAGTCATGGGACTGTTTGTGCAAGTGACAGTCCAAGGTACTGTGTTTCAAGGTGAACTGTGAACAAGGTTTCAACACTCCATCAGAAATGAGCAGTTGCTGAACTGCAGAGCCAAGCTTGTCCCAAAGTCAGGCTCTGGTGATTGTATCTCCCAAAGAGTTCCTATTTCCATATTATTTATAATAATAATAATAATCTCCTGCCCCAGATTTAACAAAACTACCAGCAAATCCCTCCAAGTCATTGTCCACGTTGAAGAACCAAGGAGAACTGTCTGGAAAAAGCAGAGGAAAACAACCAGACTTATGACAAGAGAAGAATTCAGTTAATAACCCTTCAGGAAAATAAAAGC